CAACTCAAACTGAACAAATTTAAAAACAAATATATAACTTTGGTTTTGTGCGTGCAAATGATCTACATATCTTTTGATCAAAGAGTGAATGAGGATAACTGTGCAACCACCTCTTCACCACAAAATAACAAGTTATAAAATAGAATTAAAACCGTTACAATTTTTATGTACTCATGGAGAGCAACGGACATTTTGAGAACCACTCCGACAAGAAAAGATATCTTTGGGTTTCCTGTCATTAATCTAACCTAAAATTTCTTAGCAGTGGGAATCAAGCAGTCTCACCTCCAACATGTCCACTAACTTTAGCTAATAGAAAGGTGGCTTTAGAAGTGATTCTTCATGGTCCATGACCGATAAATTGCAGCTGCATAAACGGAAACATGCACACAATACATTGTAGACATGTTTCCTCTTTGAAAATAGACAGTAACCTACACTCCAACTGGGTCAGACTGAACAATCGTCAGTCGTGGAAATTAGAATACAACAAGGCACTGACAACTGAGCGGGTGATTTTTTAGCGCCACTGGTTACGGTAGGCCTTACTTCTTTACTTTCCCTCTGTCGTTTGTCTGTCTTCCTTCCTTTTTCCCAGCACCAGATGACCATTTTTGTTGCGATGTGCTTCTCTCTACTCAGATAAACATACAAATTGACATCTGACAGAGGGCCAATGAGTGCGAAGTGAACTGTCATTTAATTTTTTAAATTTTTTTGGGGTAAGTGTTTTACGGCGCTCGCAACTGCATAAGGTCATATGAGCGCGCGGGACACACCAAATATTTTCAGTTGGTAGAACATTTTGAATTTTGCACGGGTGGCGGCTGAAGCGCCTACTCTTATCGATTTTAGACCACCAAGGGATCTTAAACGAGCGCAACTTTCACACGGGACCTCCGAGTATTTTCGCCTTTGTCGAACTGTCATCGAAGACAGTGTGTCGTGAACCCTTCACTCCACTGTTAGTGCTTGAAAAACGTGAACGCTCTTCGCAGTATGAGATCTAGCAAGTTACTTTTTTACTCGTTTCACTTTTTGCAAGAACTGTTTCATTAAGAAGGGGTAGGGGAAACATACTCATCTTTTGCTGAGCCCTAAAGACAGTTAATTGACTGGGGCGAGGTCGTTATGGACGGGTTAAGGGACATTCTTTTACTTTTAACCTGTTCATCACTTGGATATTATTTGGTGTGAAGAGCAGTAATCGAATCAATTATGATTACTGTACGTTAAATGTGCCAGTATGCATGAAATGTTGATATAAGTCTTATTTTATTGTGAAGCGCCTAGACCA